AATACCCAAAAAAAACCTGGACCCCAAGAGAAGGCGTGCAGTGCATCATGCATCGAATCGAATCCGAAAGTCGATCCTGCACAGGATTGTTACAATACCATGATTGATGCAGCATGCAGGCAATCAGTAGAAGGCTCCACAAGTGAACCCAAACAAGATGAAACATGCATGATCAAGGCCATGCAAATTACCGACACAAGTAGACAGTCGCAACGCAGGTGAAGTGACCTAGATCGATCTTTCCTTGCGGGTGGCGGCGACAGCGTCATCGCGTCAGATGCCAAATGCTTCGGCCTGTGCGAACTGTCCTCACGCTTCTAGGAACCATTCCGGGCCGTGCCGTTGGGCAGCCCAACAGTGCGAATCCATGGGACTCGCCTAGCATTGCTGGTGCCACGTCCTCTGAAAGCTTAGAACGGTCTTCCTTGCCGCCCCTGACCATCGGAGGCATTGAGTTTTCACGAGAAGATGATATCGAGAATATGGAGAAGCTCTCCAATCTGTTCGGACAGGTGTTTTACACCCACGTGCTGTCACCCGGGGATCCTGCTGCTGCACAGGCGTGGCAGGCCTTGTCCTCGGACATCTGGACGCTTGTGCAGCATGCAATGCAGACCCCGGCCATGGCCCTCTCCGTGGCAATGTGCCTGTATAATTATTACTGGTGGGAAGGTCCTCACAACAACGAGCCAAATGCAGTTGCCGGCTATCATGCGGCGGAGCTCATGTATTTAGCTGTGAGGCATGCCCGTTGTCACGAACCGCATTTAAGCGCGCAGGAGTTTTACATCCTACAATGCCATCTGCGCTGGCGCTACCTGCTAATGCTTGCCGGGGAGACCGGCCGCTACCTGGCCTTGCAGTCTCGAAGCATCCAGCATGGGAGCCAAATGCTGTCACGGGCGCGATCTTGGTTCCGCGAGATGCGCCAGCTGCCCAACGTGGAACTCTTGCATGGGCTCAGCACCCACGAGGTCAATTTCAACATGGACTATTACCCTGCAGCCACCATGCGATTCGGGCCTGTCTGGCATGATCCCCTGAAAATTCTGCCGGTTGCCAGTGTTCTAGAGGCAAGCTATCCCATCATACGGTCGGAGCTGGAGGGCATCTTGCGTCAGGGGTCCACATTCGAGAACCTTGACCAGCACACACGCAACGCTGAAACACAATTTGGCCCCAGGGGGGACGATTGGCTGACGGCATACCTGTTCAGGAAAGGGGAGCCCATTCCAGAAGTCTGTGCGTATGCACCCCGCACCTGCCAGATCCTTCAGCAACGGCCCGAAATTGCAAACTGCAAAATGGGAGGGTCGGGGGCAGGCTTTTTGCGAATGAGACCTGGTGGCAGACTCAAGCCACACTTTGGCAACGCTCCGCGGCTGAGTCTGCACTTGGGTTTGATCGTACCTGACGGGGAAATCTCAATGTATGTCGGATATGAAGAGCTGAAGTGGCAGGAAGGGAAGGTCATCGCTTTTGATGACACTTTCATCCACCAGGTCCTCCACAACGGTGTCGAGCCGAGATATGTGATGAACCTCTGGATGTGCCATCCCTGCGACCCTTACGATGGCAAGCTTCCCGGGGAGCAAGTGCCGGAGTACTGTCACGGAGGACTGGGTGCTATGCATCGCCTTGGCTTGCAGCCGCTCCCGCCGAAATTCTGAGACCAAAGCGTCAACCTGAGCTTGCAGTTGAACTCCGCAAGTCAATGGCACTGCGCGGGAGTGTAGGCATTCTGGGCAAAGTCTTAGAGTACGCTTATGGAAGGATGGTGGCTCGGGCTTCGCCGGCCTTTGAGGGGATCCATCTTTGCTCTTGCAGGGCCTCAGCTGCCAGGCGAAAAATTACGTAAGAGAGCTGGCCGGAACGCTAGCAAGGAAAGATGACCAGTCGCTGAACAGATCAGCAGACACATCTGCTAAGGCAACCACGAGGGCGCAAACTAACACATCTGCTTTTGTAGTCACGCCGCGTGCAAGATTCGGTTTGACCTGTGGTCGAATCTGTGAAGTTGCCACTCGGCACAGCATCGCTGGCCTGATCGCAGACTGTAGAGTCCCCTGAGTGAGTGGCTTGGCCCAAAGCATCTTAAGAAGGATGCACGCCCAGAGCGCGCCGTGACCAGGGCGCTCGGGTCTTCGGAGCTCGTCCGCACCTCTGGGTTGTTTCCAGGTTTTGCCAGTACTTGTAGCAGCGATTCCACCCAAGGTGATGGAGGACACGCCCTATGACAGCCTCACACGAGAGTGTCTCAGCTGCGAGATATTTAAGGAGCAGCTTTTCGGGCCGAGTCCTTAGTGAGGCCGTGATAGCTAAGTGCTAGTGGAAGTCATAATCAAAAACAGCCCTACCAGCAAGCGTCCCCGAAATATCCACTATCACAGGGAGCGTGGGTCAGGATGCAATCCGAAAATCGTGGATAATACCAAAATCAGAGGAAGTACTGCTGAAGAACAAGCTCCCAGTCCACCCACCGGTTTGCCTTTTCGGAGCGCCATAGCCAGAAAGGGAGATGTTCTTGTTAGAAAGATTCTCATCCAGACTCTATCTACTTCGAATACTGACGGCTCGGCAATCTTCCAGAATCGTCGAGGGCATATAAGCACCATGATCACCAACTTCTGTCAGTGTGTGGAAGACTTAGAATTTTCGGGCCTGCCAACTGAGTGCTCAGAGTAACGCGATGCCATGCACATGGAATGACATGGACATGGTTTCATGATCCAGGCAAAGTGTTTCCGCATCGCCACATCGTGAAGTGGCGCATGAAACGCATGCGAATACCTGGCATCCGGCACCTCCTCGGATTGGATTCCAGGCATCTTCAGAAGATGGCGAAGTGGATCGTCATGCTTCGAGGTCACAGCCAGATCTCTTGTCAGTGCAAAGGGTTGTAATTGCGTGCCTCGAGGCGGTGACGAATCTTCAGAATCTACAGCCGCAAAGGCTTGCTTATGCAAGTTGAAGGGACACCGGGACAACATCTGTTGTCCTAGCGCCGCCTCGTTTGCATTGTGGCTCCGTTACAGGCAGAAGACGTGCACCATTCCCAGAGCTTGCTCAGCAGGTGGCCAGGCAAGCATGTGGCAAGTGAGTCACAGAGGCTGCATGAAGTCATCGCGAAGAAGTTTGGGGAGGGCTTTGATCCATCCCGCCGGTGTCCAAGTCCAGTTCATCTTCAGTGATGGAGAAATCAGTTCTGTAAGGAACAACTGATGGCAGAAGCAATGAATGGCTTGAGCCTCACAAGCGTCACCTCGCATCGCTGGGCCTGTATCGTCCTGTCATGAGACTGGGAGGCAGCCAGGATTTGTCCAGATTCGCCACTATCGAGATGCCGTTTACCGGCTTTCCAAGGAACCCCAAGGCTCCGAAACTCTGTTGCAGCGTTGTGCCGAGCAAGGAACTGAGTCCTGCTTCAGGCAGACAGTCTGCCTGGATCCAGCAAGTCTTGCGGGATATAGCAGCTCATCAGGACCACGGCCCAGTCCCTTGCTCGCAGCCCCTTTGCCAGCGACGATGAGCCGAGATGTCAGTGTGTGCTCGGGCTTGCCGGTCTTCGACAGGAATTCCACAAGGAGCTCCTAGAACACGAAGCAACATCAGACAGCTTTGCAGCGTGTCTGCCTCAATGTCTATAGTCTATAGCGGCATATAGTGGCCGTACAAGTGTGAGAATGTGCTCCTTAGGTTCACGGCAAAGATGAACGTGCTTCTGACAAACTATCTAACAGCCGCCAAAGACGAGGTGCAAGCCAGGCAAGTGGTTGCAAGATGCGCCTTCCACCATGTTTTTGAACCCTTCATGGAGTCTCTTTCGGCGCATTTGTCGGAAGGGAGAGCATGGAAAGCTTCTGCACTCATGCGGCCTACAAGCAGCATACGTATCTGCCGATACCTGAGCTGGAGGATGCTGGCATGGCTGACTGCACAAGATGCATCTAAGGTATGCCCAGGCAATTCTGTGGCAACTGCGAGGCTTTGCAAAAGCAAGTTTTGGCAACACGCTCCAACTTGCAGAGTACAGGCAAGTGCCCGCGCCAACACCAAGCGCTGCTAGCCCTTAGCCAGGCAAATGCATCCAACGGCCCCGCAGCTGCCCCTAAGGCCCCTAAGCTCGGTCCCGGCCCTTGGAAGGCGCTGACGTCTCGTGGTCTCCAGCGCTTTCCGTCTCACGTGGAGAACTTAGCCCCGGACTGCAGGAAGTCCCTGAAGCGGGCTGTTGCGTCTCCAGGTCTCTCGCTTTGACCTGAGCCTGAGTGGGGCCAGCACCTTGACCAGAACGAAATCCGGACGTCTTGAACTGCCGTCGGGCGCAGGACGACAATGCCAAAGATTTGGCCGGCCTTCTACTGTCAATGTGTCTGTCCCAGTTTGTCTCCATGTGTTGTTCAGTGCGGTCTTGCTTCTCGGAGAGCCTTCGAGTAGCTTGAAGGTCTCGACGAAGTGGCAAAGAGCTCGCTGCCGAGGATGCCTCCTCAGTTCCGACTTTTCGTCCGGCACAGGGTCACATAGAATTGGAATGGGTAGCAATCGAGGCTGCAAAGGTTTGCCGCGTCCTGGAAGGCCTCTTTGGGTTCCAGGCTTGATTCCCAGCAGACCCTTAGCCCGTAGCCGTGCTTGGAGATGCTGGCAGGACGCCCGGACGGTTCTGTCCCCGAGCCTACAGGAGGACCGATCGCCAAGTACCGAGGCTGCGGCTTGGGGCGTTGGGTGCGAGCTTGCAAGTGTGGCTCTTCCGCTGTTCAGTGCCGTGACTGCGTGATTTGGTCGTCAAATATAGCCAGTGTTTTATACTAGTAGGACAAAAGTTCAGGCCATTCGGCAGTACTTCTTTCGGGTGCGGCAGATTGTCAAATCAAGATAGTTAAGGTTGGGAGGTCCCCAGAAAGCCTCGTGGCACACCCAAGCGGCCCACGTTTGGAAGGTGGCATCGGATGCGACAGAATGGGGTGAACAGGCCGATTGCGCAGCTTCCGTCACCAGAGTGGCAACTTAAAACCCCTGAGGTGTGCCCGGTGTGCCCAGACCCAGAGGGCCAACCCCAAGTCCCAGTTGTTTGGCACTTGGGAGTCAGCACCACAAAATGCCCGCTATGCTCCCCAGCTCACAGGGCCCGGGCTCTCCAGCTGCTTCATCTGTCCGCGACAACGCTACAGCTTGGAATTCCTCGATCCAGGCTGTGCCACGATTCTGCAGTGGAAACAAGCGGAAACCTGAATCTTCTGATCCTTGCAGGCACCCTCTTGGACAGCCCGCCGTGAAAGCGAGGCTAGCGTTTCTCCGATTCTCTACCGTTTTGTTTGGCCGGCCAATCGGGCAACTGGCTCCAACTGCAAACATAAACATGTCAGTGGCCTCTGGGAGGGCGACTGCGAGGAAGACAGAACCAGCCCTAGGCTCAGGCTTAGGGCTTAGGTGCTGGATTCTCGACCAACTTGTCTATTCGCTCGGACGCTTCAGGTCAGCGCCTGGATCCAACGAAAGGCAATTGTGCAGCCGCAGCACCATCGCCATGCCACTTGCAGAAGCAGGCAAGAGAGGGGTGCAGTGGCAAATGCGCAGCGGCAGACTTAGCACTTGCGGAGTGATGCTCCTTGGCTGACTATTGACTTGCTCTGTCGGCCCAGTCGACTACGAGGCCCACAGATCTTCCACAAGCTTCTGGTGCAGTTTGCCTGCTCCCCATGGCCAGAGCTGCCAAGACTGAACAGGACTCTGAATGGCTCTACAGGTTGATCCCGAAAACGAATTCCATCCGGCTGATAAGCGGCCATGCGTGCTCCGGCGGCAATAGACTTCGCTCTCCTGCTTCTGAGCAGTCGTGCGAGCCATCCGGTCCCGGCACCGTTTTGTTGACTTCTGGGCGAAGCCCTTCCGTTTCCAAGGCGAAGCTATTGGCAATAGTTTGCCATGACGGTCCTGCTCTCACTCCACGGGACCCAGAACATGTCATGGTCTCGAAGCTGAATGCAGCTCAGGCCTTAACTCATCGGATGAAGCTGTGCGCCAGTCCGCGCTCGAGGCGTGGTGTGCAGAGACCCTTCAAGGCCCTCCGACACTGAAGCTAACAGGCTGTGGACGAAGCCACTTCCGACCTGTGCGCTGTGTACGAAGACCCAAGCTGAGAGATCATCAGCTGCGTGCTGTACATGTCAGTTTTCACGAGCCGTCGTCGTTGTGGTTGTGCAATCGTAGTCGCAGCAGCAGCAGCAGCAGCAGCAGCAGCAAGAGCAGCAGGAGCAGCAGCGGAGCAGCTCGTTACAACCGGATGGGCTGGGTCCCAGGTGGCACAGGGCAGAGGTCCAACGAATTTCGATGCCATGCACTCGCTTTACCTCCTGCTTACCACATGCTCTGCTTCCCTGGAACGGCGAGCGGTTCCTGCTGGGCACGTTTGAAGCAAGAGACGATTGGAGACTCAAGGATGAGGCCACTTGTGCGACGGGGTGAGTGAGGAAAGCGGCTGCCGGACAATCTGTAGCCTGGAGGATTGTCTCAGAAGTTGTCTTCCATTCTTATGCGCCCCATAGGGCGAATGAAAGAAGATGGAAGAAGCGGGTACACAGCCGAACTACGGCTTGCAGCATCTTTGGATTGCAACGCTCAATGATGCTCTTTGGGACTTTGGGTCAGGGTGCAAACCCCGCTACTGTACCAATTTTAGGTGTAAGCGGTACACTAAGATGGCTGGCTGTTTTAGGTTACCCAAAAAGATCACGCAAAGACTTCGGATGGGGGGGAGCCGTGCGCGCATGCAGTGCGGCTTATTGCGCAAACCACAGTAGTGGTGTGGGACAACCCGGGGGGCCGGGAGAGAGCCGTGGACGCATGCACGGGTAACCGTGCCGTGGTGGGTGCAGAAAACCACAGCAGCGGTGGTGGTATTGGGACTGTACGTTGAGCCGGCGGGGAAGAATGCCACCGGGACCCGTTGAACCTTGCTGTTGCTGCTGCTCCTGCTGCTGCCGTTGTGGTTGCAGTTGCAGTTGCCGTTGCTGTTTGTTGTTGTTGGTGCTGTTGCTGTTGCCGTTGCCGTTGTGCGTTTGCGGCTGCGGCTGCGGCTGCGGTTGCGGTTGCTGTTTCTGTTGCTGCTGCTGTTGTTGTTGGCAGCTGTTGCGTCTGCCGCGGATTCAGGGCTGCAATGGGCTTAAAACTCGAGTCTTTGCACATGGCTGTCTGGACAAAAGAGCTGCATTTTGCATTTCTTATCGGTTTTGTCGTGGTGTTTCCTAAATTGTTCGTTTTCAGGGCTGCGCTGTGCCAGAACTTGACTTCTCGCACGTGGCAGCTTGGACTTCTATGGGTACTCAAACGGTATTTAAATTTATCCGTGGCTTCTCCGTTTCCATGTTTTGCTTGCAAGTCGGCTGCTTTCATCTTTGGACTTGCAGTGTTTGTGTTTCCTTGGGCTTCCGTGCAAGGGTGGGGGTAACGTCCATGCGAATGCGGCTTGCATCTAGTGTTTTGTTTTTTTGCTCCGTGCAGGGGTGGTTTTGCGCGGAAGCGTCGTAAATACCATGGTTTTCGTTGTTTCGTTGTTTTGCCAAGAACCCCGCCAGCTCCAGATTCAAAGCTGTATGTCTAAAGCAGATTGCCCTGACCGTGATGACGATGGTGAGAATGATGATGATGATGATGATGATGATGATGATGATGATGCTGTTGCTGATGTTCATGATCTTGATGCTCCTGATTTCGATGATGTTGGAAAGTATGATGATTATGATGTTATTGCTTGTTCATGCAGACGATAACTACGTCGATGACGCCACTACTAGTGTTTTGTGTTTTGTGGGTTCCCAAACAACTTTAAAAATGAACGCGCAACTGAAGCAAACAAAAAGCCGAACGCCACTGTATGTGCGACACTTTCGCCAAAAAACACAGACTGAAGAAACGACCTAAAACATGGAAACAAAGGGGCAAACCATCCAACCACACAAAACTCGAGGTTTTCAGGCTCTTTATTACGAAAGACGACACACCCTCCGCGGCGGCAGACGCAACAGCCGCCTTACTGTTGCCGTTGCTGTTGCTGTGGCTGCATTTTTTTGCTCTTAAAGTCTGTGTAGCTCCTGCTGCTGTTGTCGTTGTGGTCGTGGTCGTGGTCGCTGTCCTCGTTGTTTTGTTTGTTGACAGTGCCGTTGAGGTTCGTACTGTAGCCGTCGCGAAGATGTCTCTTGACAAGGAGATCCACAGTCACAACCTCGATAAGATCAGTCAGCTAGCGAATCCTTCGCCTTCTGAGCTTCAGATGAACATTCATGTCAGAACTCGATTTGACAGATCTTGGAAGTGCATGGGTCCGTCATAGAATGTCGTTTGGCACAATAGAGAACCTCCATCACATTCCTGGCCTTTCGTCTGCATCAGTGAGATGCAGAGAGACAGCATTGTCCCGTCGTCAGAACGTCACAGGGCCCCGACTTCACCGTGGCCAAGTAACTGATTGGCATGAACCCGTGAAGACAAACTTCAGTACACATGTCAAGAGAGAGTGAGCAGTGAGTCCATGAGCGAGCAACTCATTCTTGCCGTGAAACTGCGCTCCGGTATGCTCAATTTTTAGACGCTGTAGCAGTGCAAGTCTGCCTAGGTCATGCACGGCGACAAGGCGTTTGCTGTTCAGGTAAACAATTTGGCGACGATCCCAGTCTGTTGACCTGAAGCACAGATGCTTCGAAGCCCAGCCATGACAACGGAACTGAGATCCGGCGAATCCCGCAATCCTCCGCTCTGGGTTGTGCTGCAAGCCTCTGTCCGAACCTCGTTTGCTGCGCGCATGCGATCGCATGCGTTGCTGGATCTGAGATGATCTGAGAGCGAGTTCAGTAGAGGTTGGTTGCGGCACCACGGCATCGGCGGACGCTTGGGAGGCCGGGAGCGGCTACGCCGCATGTCTCAGTCGACGCCTCGCAGGTGCATGGAGGGGGCACAGATCTGCCCTTTGTGTCGGTTTCTGCTGAGGCCGGTGGTGGCCCACCTGCTTCTAAAGGCATGCCAGGCCGGAGGGATAGCCTGCAGAGACCCGACTTCCGGGATTCAGCCCAGGCACACGACCGGCAGTTTACGAGGATCCTGGAGATCACGGAATACATACTGGAACAGCTCGATTCGGGTTCGTTTGACACCGAGGAGCCGCGGAGAGTCAGTCGTGACGTCAGTCGTGTCATGCGGAGTCATCGGAGTTGCCGTGCAGTTTCAGGGCCAGTAGCGCCCTTTCAACCATTTTTCATTGCCCTGAACAGCAGAAGTACTGCAACAGTACCTACCGAGGCGGATGATTTGGTACGATAAGGGCTGCATCGCGATGGCCCATCAGCGATACAACGCCTCGTAGTCCATTTACTTGCAGCATGTGTTTGGAGTTCTTAAAGTACTACACCTGGACTGAAGGATCTGGCGGGCAAGTGCCGCTTTGAGATTGCAATCCGGCGAATCTCACTCTTACTTACACACCTTCTCCAAACCTTGGGTCCAGACATGTCCAGACGAACATTGGCGTGCTGTGCGATCTGTGCGTTTTTATCACGAAACATGCTGCCCGTCTCGCCGGCAAACCGCTGCTTCTGGTCGGGCATAAGTTGTAATGATGATTTCCGAGGTGTGCAACTGTTCTCAGAGTCAATCACGCAGGTCGAGGGCCATACTATCGGAGGTTGTGCCATGCTAACGATCGAGTCTGCACTCAGTCGTTGCTATCCTTCTGCAGTCTCAGGCACCGTTGCGCTGCTCGGACTCATTTGAGAGAGGGCGTTGCCTCCGAAATCTTGCAAACGGCTTCGCTGTACAAACAACTGTTCGTTCAGTCTACCGGCCCTGGAGCGGAGCTAAGTTCCAACGTTCACTGCCTCGCGCCGCCCTCCTTTGCGTCCCGCCCGCTCTGGGACATTTGCACTTTCTGCCGGCCAGAGGGCAAGTTCCGTGAAGAGTGGTAAAGGCTCATTGCATGCAGATGCAAGAGTTGCCGTTGTGCAAAATACCGTAGAGATCAACCTCTACGCGCTAGCATGCGCTAGCCGTTAACAACTCATTGGGCTCACGGCTCACATGACCGCTGTGTAACTTTAGGTAGCAAGCGCAGGATTTGCAACTCCTTTCCAGCTGCAACTTCTGAAATTGCCACGGCAGACACTAAGACGCACAAGCCGCAAGTCCTGTGCTTCCGACAGAAAGTTCTTTGCCGGCGACAGAAGCATTAGCTTGGAGCTTGAGGCTTCCTCTCTTCGAGTGATCAGGTATCCTGAGTTTGTGCGTCAACACAGAATTTCGTCCACACATCGTTGTCGGTTTTGCGCCGCGTCTTATCGTACCCGCAACTGTGCGACATGGAATGTACGGGATGTGATCTGAACTCCGAACCTTAAGGCCTGTCACATGGGAGCTGCAACCAAGAGTCAATATTTCGAGAATGGCGCCAACCCATAAAAATTTTGAAATGTACATGCAAGTATACGGTATAACTTCCAAAACAGGTTTCTAATCTCAACAGGGAAGTCTTGGGTCTCGGATCTGTAGTTCGCTTGCTTCGGTAAGTGACTATTTCTGTTCACCCCGATTCTCTGCTGTGTAAGCAACACTCAATCGCAACGATCATCGTTGGCTCAGAGTGCATGTTCTGCCATGATTTAGAGCTACCGACCAGTGCACAAGCGATTGTTTCGCGTTTCTATTCCCGCGGTGTTGCGGCCCTACAAATATTATATTTTCAGAATATGAGCTGGGCAACATGGACCTACCCGCTTTCGTATAAACCAAATTCAACAGCAGAAGATTCCCACTGTGAGCTTGAAACTTGCATCTTATCATGAAATCCATCTTGACGGGCATGCTATTTTCATTCACAACTTGTTGTGCTGGTTCTTGCAAAATTCGGTGTAGCAGTGGGCATCGGCGTGAACAGAGCACTCATCACAGATCCATTTTCCAATGCGCTGGTTGAAAATCAGCATCACGGGACGTTCCCCGTATGGACGCAGTATGCGATTTCATGTCGACTTTTATAGCAGGGTCACTGGATGTGGGGGCCCACCATTTTTGCGACCCCCCCAACCTTGTTTTGGTTAGGAAAATTAGAATGCCCCCGGATCTAGTAACGGATGGAGATATGCAGGACGATTCGATAGCACTGTCTGTATGCGACTACTAAAGACTCCTGCAGCCATCACTTCTGGCTAGTCATGATGATGGTGCTGTGCGTCTGTTCGTTCCTTCTTCGTGGTGATACCAAGCTTCATGTTGAAGAGCTGGCAGCTAGCGCTGTTCGCAGGAGGTGGTGTCATCTGGTGAGGAGCACAAGACGCCAGGCGCCGCAACAATCCCCTTCTTTGCTGATTCAATGATGACGCTAAGATGAAGTCCATGGAGTCTTCGGCTATCGTACGGTCTCGTGCCACCTCGTCACCTCTCTCTTGCGAGGCCATTCCGGGCTTGCGGGCCAGCCCGGCCCTTTCTTCGTGTGCAGCTTCGTGGGATTTTTCCTGAAGCCCGCTTCCGGAGCCCAGGGAAACCAGAGAGATCGAGGAAAGCAGAAGAAAATGCTTTGGCTACATCCTCGAGCTTCTCGTGCACGGGCTTCAGTCCTCCTCGTGCAGGCATGACGTTATAGCTGCCTCAGCGCACGAGAAGGCACTTTGCCAGGGAGTCCTGCTGCGTTGCACTCGCATCGGTCTCAGCAACGAGTAGGCGTGGACGTGCCCGGAAATTTGATCGTCGAAGCTTCGAGGTTTCGAGTCTTTTGGCCCGAAGAGGCTCCAGCACCTGCCTAAGATGGCAGTGGCTCTCTTCACATAGATTGCAAATAAAAAAAAATCAGAGCCCCGCGTAGGCATTGCAGACTTGTAGGCCTTGCTCTGAGACTCCCGGCAGTTCCCAGAAGCCTTGGGTCCTGAGGTTGGATCTCCGGGCAGATGCAGAGCTTCTTGCAAGGTGTTTTCCGTGAGCAGCGCCAGTACGCTCCGACCACACCTGAGCGCTTCCACAGCTTTAGCTTGGACTGACTCGAATCCGAGTGAAACATGCGCTGCTTCATAAGGGCCTTCGGAGTTGCTGTTGTGCGGCTGCTTGCCTGCGATCCTGTTGGAACGGCTTGCTTGAGTCCCAGATGGCGGAGGGAGATCTCGCAGCCTCGCAGTACCCATGCCGACTTCCATGGTGCCAGGGTTCCCTCCCCAAATTGAGGCACGGCCACGGAGGAGCAGCGCCTGGGCCTCGGCTGTCTCTCTCCGTTCCACGAAGGGCATTTTCGGGTTTAGCACAAGGCTAAGTTGGCATGTCGCAGGTAAGCTGGCCATCGAGTTTTTGAAAAAAGTCGGGCTGTTGTGCAAGGAGCACACCTGGTGCCGCACATTTTCAAACTTGAGAAACGGCTGGGCCGCAGGATGATCCATTGTGGAAGTCAGAGTTCGACAAGGCTGAGTCGCAGCATGTCGCAGCACATTGCCTCTAGCTGCCGTTGCCTTTGCTTCAGCAGGCGACCGAGAAAGTGAAGCCTTTCCTGAAGAAGGCGTCTTTCGTAGGCCTATTCTACAGTGCAACTTTGCAACGGTCATGCAGGCCCCCCAGACCAAGGAATCCCCTTTGATTCAAGACGGCAAGAACAAGGTGTGGCGCAATCTGGCACAATGCAGCAGCTTTGCGCAAGCTGGCAATTGTCAGACTAGTCAGTGGCAGGCTTCTGCCGGGCCGCCGTGTCCTCAAACTATTTAGCAACGCTGTTCCTCTTGGGCGGCGCCTTGTGCCCTTGGGAACCGGCCGAGGAGCGCGGGCCAGAAGAGAGAAGGAGGCCGTTTGCTGCGGAGTTTGGTGAAGCCGCCTTTTATCTCCCGTCGGCACCATCCAGGAGCTTTGGAGGATCATCAGGCCAAGAAGGCCATCAGGGAAGAACAGTGATTGTCCTTTGCTTGGCAATCGTGCTCCTGCCACAGTGCAGAGCGCATGCTGGACTCATGGGGTCTTCGGCTTGTAGCGCTTGGACTGCCAAGTCTGCTAGCGCACATATGGTAGGACGATTTGTGCCGTCTTCAGGTGAAGCAGTCGCCACGGTCATCGTCAAGGCAGTCGCCCATAGCCACACCGTCACCGGGACAGTCGCCTGTGCCTTCGCAGCCAGACACCAACCAGGCCCGGCGGTGCCAGTAGAAACCGAATCGACAAGCGCATACGCGACGATGGATGCAGGACGATTGGGAACCCCAGATTCAGGCTGGAGAGTGTGATGCATGCGTCATGCCTTTGCATGGTTGAAGCTGTTACGTGCTTACTCTGCAAACACATGAGAAATTATGCGGAGAGGTTTTCCTTACCTGCAGGCGTGTTGAGGCCCCTGTTCGCTGCGATCCCGGCCAGGCAAAACTGCTTACACATCCGAACCCGAACCGGAGCACGCTAGTGATAAGGAAAAAGCAGCTTCTCAACGGGAGCTTGCACGCCGAAGGCAAAGAAGAGACTGCACGTGACGTGCGTTGGGACAGCAGGGGAGCTCATGCATCCCCTTGAAGATCGGCAAATTGCTCCAAACAACGGTAACATCAAGGTCTTCGACGAAACATGCACACGGCGAGCGCCATCACTGTGGGGTGTGGGAAACAGCCGTGACGAGTGTAATTTTCCCGCCATGTGGACGACTCGATGTTGTTCGCGCACGGAGAAGGAGTGCCAGTGGACCCAAGCACCGAGGCACCTCGAGGCTAGGAGGATGCAACTCCCTCTAAGCATGCGCGGATAGTGTCAATGCCTTAGACAGTGGCATAGACTCTGTAACCCACCTCCCGGCAAGCATGTGCTGGACAGATCTCCGAACCAGTAGTTTTCTAACAGCCGTCTTCTCTGACGGGCTCGGGATGAGAAAACCTGCGTGATCGAAAATGCACCGTTACATTAATTCAATACTACAGGTGCAAGGACCATTACATACCATTACTGTCACTACGGCTATCAACACTACTACCATGAAGTCACAGGTAATCCATTCCCCCTTGTCTTAAACACCCCCCTATTTAGTAAAACACATTGGACCCAGTCCTCCCGAAATCATCCCTGCCCTTTAAAACCTATTCTGAATTGTGGGGTTTCGAGGCTCCAAATACCCTTAGAGCACAGGAAGAGTAAGAGCAAGAGCAGGAGCAAGAGTAAAAGCGGGAGCATCAGCAAGCAGCAGCAAGAGCAAAGCAAAAGCCAGAGCGGGAGTAAGAGCAAGAGCAGGAGCAACAGCGGGAGCGACAGCAAGAGCAGGAGAAGGGGCAAGAGACGCAGCAGAAGCAGGAGCCCCTAATAATGAAGACACTGTCCGAGTATCTATTGGGGGGGGCCCCATTTAATATTAGGAGCTCAAGGTTAATTGCTAGACTTACCACGAGCCGTTCCAGTACCATGCAGTCGTCATGCTCTTACTACGCGGCCCGTCTTTCTGCCGGGGTTGGAGCTATGGGGTGGGTGGGGGATACGTTCGTTAGGTCCTGCAGCTCCGCCAAACCGTCCCCTGAGCCTGGGTCAGGGGCTGTATTTTTTGAGTGCTCTTTATGCTCTTTCGAAACCATTGATGTTTGCATTCATTTCGGTGTATGTGCCTTGGACTTCGCCCATCTTTTTGCTGCATCTCCCGATGCAGCCACCCTCTTGCGAGAGAAGAGTGTGCCAGCGCTCGTCCGCGCTCGCGCGGTGGCAGTAGTCCCACCCGTCCAACGCGCCAACCCCTAGATGCCAAACTGCTGGTTTCCACTGTGCTCCGGGTCTCTATGGTGATGTCATGCGTGATTGCCCTGCAAGGCTTTGCAGGGCCAGTGGCTTCGGGACTTTGACAACATGAAAGTACTAGTGAGAGGATACAAAGCTATCTTCGGCGATGGGCAGCAGATGCAGACGATGAAGCTTCAAGCAAGGCCGGTTTTTGCGGAAGCCACCCTGCCTGTCCTCCTAAACCACTGTGTGTTCAGGCCAGGGAACAAGGTGAAGCTGGCCGAAAAGTGGGCAGCCGTGCAGGGGCCCTGAAGATCTGTGCAAGATGCTAGCGAATTCCCGAAGCACTGCTGAAGGATCGATAGCCAGCGACCACAAAGGCCACGCGCAGTTTGGCAATGGTGCCGTAGAGCTGCATGTAGGCCCTGCATGTGATGGGGTGCTTGGAGTCTTGGAGTCCCTGCATGAGACAATTCTTTCATCCGGGCTGGCGTGCGCCCACTTTCTGTGGCTCGGGCAGTGCACGTGAACAGTTGCTCCCGAGGATCATATGGACGGGTGAGTCCAACGGTCGCGCGCTGAGCATCCCAGCGCAGGCAGATGGAACGAAGCTGATGTCCAAACCGTAAAACTGTAGCTGCGCGCTCGCTGTTGTCCATGCGTTATTAGTTGAGACTCCCAGCTCACTGAGCATAATGACCTTCCCTGTTGCTGTGCACTCCCATGGGGCACACGTGTGATCAGCACTATAATGTGCACATGAGGCAGTACTCGCAAGATCATCTGGCAAAGCGTCCAAGGTGCAACTGTAGATGCAGCTGTGCTCGCCAAGACGATTGGAAGTGAGAGAGTGAGCACATCTTTGCACCACAGGTTCCAACTCGAAGCCACCAAAGAGAAATGCGTCCTAGCCAGGGCCGAATAAAGTAAAGGCACTCCTGCCTGCTTGAGGGTCTTTGCAGGACTGCAGGGCTGAAAACAAGATCGCATCGCAGGTGAGGCTGCCCCGGACATCATCTGCGAGCCTCTGCGTTCTGGGAAACGTCACGCCTAACTACGTGTCATGGCCGCCATGGCCTGTTTGCTGGAAGCCGGAGAGCAGAACTACGGCACGGGCCCAGCGAGGTTTTCTATTGGAGCTATTACGGGGGTTTGGACGACCTTTGCGTCGCTGGGTCATCGTTGCATTTCCGGAGCTCTGACTTTTCGTACACGGCCACTTTGACAAACAACTGCGATCTCCTTGAAACTGGCACGGCTTTTGCGCGGGTTGTGGAGTCCGTCCGCGTCAAGTCTCGTGGGCCAAGGGTTTGGACGCAAGGCTGCAAGCTCCAGGTTTCGCTGCGGCGTCGCATCGAAGCGGCGAACTGCACTTGACTTGGACGCTTGGACTCGCCGGAGAGGAGCGGAGGAGTTTTTTCCAACAGAGCGCATTGGCTTTGGCGGCTTCCACTCTCAAGTCTTTGCCTTCCACTGCTCGCAGGGGTCGCAGCGCGTACAGAGTGGGCTGGCTCGGGCTGCGTCACCACACAGGAGGAGCCTCCAAGTGCAGTGTGACAGCTGCGCCGGTGAATTTTCCACTTTCTCACCGAGCTTCTGAATGGAGGAATTGTCGTAAAGGATCGGCCTCTGCGCCGCTCGTTCTGTGTGCAGGCTGCATCCGAGGTGTTTGTGGGCTACTTCTCTGGTTCCCCAGCCAGGCGCTGTCGCTGAAAACTTCTGAATGACGTCTCACGTCGGCGTCGCGGGGGCTCTGCTGAAAGAGCCTGGAGCAGCAACAGCGCCATGCGCCCGGAACATGTGAGAGTGCCGACCTGAGCTGCGAAGATCAACCGTGGTGCAGCATGTGGCATGAGAGATGCACATCGCATGCAACTTCCAAGGGTTTCGGACCCATATACTGGACGTTTCACCTCTGACTGAACGACGTGAAGATCAAAGGAAAGTACTGTCGGGACAGCAGAGGAGAAGCACCGGGAATTTTTGTTGACCAGGCTCGAATGCATCGAATCATTGCTGGCTTAAGCTTGTTGCAGCAATTAGAGACATGACGTTTTGCATTACACGCCGTTTAGCCATTCGCGTCTCTGAAGCTGCCAATTCTTATGACCAGCTGCATACTCAAGCAATGGGAATGTTTATCAAAACTTAAAACAATAACAGGAGTAACTTCGAGCAATGACTGTTGCTGAGCTGCCCGCTCCTTTGACGAAGGGCAAGCGATGGGCGAAGAATGCGGCGGAAAGGGAACAGCAAATACAGAGTGAAGCCATTGCTATCAAGGTGCGGCGTCCTGAGTTGTTCGGAGACTTGCTCCAGAGCAAGACTCCAGCATGGCAGTGCGAGTTCCGCTTCTGCAGCTTTAGCCACTTTAGCAGTGGAAAGCCAAGAGAATCATCGCATCAGGGCGCTTCAGATCGCACTTTCATGCTTCACGCAGAGCATGTCAGCTGGTGAGAACACAAGTCCAACTTTTCATCGCTTCTGAAACACGCTGGCATATTGGCATACTGAGCCATTTTCTCTCTTCTCCGAAGTTTATGCTCTGCTGTATACAACATCGGAAGCAACATGCTTGCACTCTGCAGGTTGCACATTTTATGCCAATACAGTTATATTTTTCAGCCATTTACGTGCTGAAAGAGATTCTCGAAGAGACGGAGGTTCCAATGTGCACGCGTGGGAAATAGAGGAAGCGAGGTTGTCGTGACATGTGTCCAGTAACTTGTTCATTCGTGTCAGAGGTGTCAGAGGTATCAGGAGGGTGAGCGAGATTTCGAGTTTCGTGGTGCAGCACACGCATGTCGCTGTAAAGATTCGAAAACCCAACAGTGACGAGAGCATGGTCTGGAGCGTTCCGAGGCTGCTTCCGGATGTGTCAGAGGAAGACATTCGATGCCGCCTGAAAGAGCACGGAGGCAAGGGAGATATGGTTCTGCAGGAACTGCTGGATGCCCAGGAGGCAAGTTTTCTGGGAGGGTTGCTGGACGAGGAGAGCCCTCCTCCAAGCATAGAGGAGGCCGCACCCGTTCAGGAAGTGCATCAGCAACCGCAGGCTTGCAACCCAACTTCACCGACAGTGATGGAAGAGGCAAACTCGGCGCCGCCAAGTGCGTGTCGCCTCGCCTCAGACCAGATTCCAGCCGAGGATGCAGAGACTGAGGCCGAGCAGGCAGAGCCACAGAATAGTGTGTCCAAAGCTCCTCAAGTCCCGAGTGTCCCGATCTGGCTGCCCATGCTTCAACCGTCAACTCCCTTGGAGCAATCTTCCAAGTGTTTGCCTCAGCTTTCATCGGTTTCATAGGGGGCTTCAGTCGTTATTCACGCAGGAGGCGAGGAAAACATGCTGGACGTGTCACTCTGCTTGTCACCCAGGCGGAAGATCCAGTACGATCGGCAGACGGAGAGGCTGAAGGTGCAACCCTCGTCCTTTCAGGAGGTTCTGCGGCTTTGGTCGGGGGTCTCAAGCGATCTTTCTCTGGATTTTGGATCTCCTAAAAAGCTGCTTGGGCGCTTGAGCCTGAAGCTGTCTCCGAGCCGTCAAGCTACAGGTACTGTTGTGATCTGTGATGGCTGTTCGGCATCGTTGTGGATCTCTATCGCAATGAAAAATCTTGCAGGATCCAATAGATCCAGTACCATGATGTACCATGCTTGTCAACAGCAACTCGCAGGCTGCCCTGGGCCCGGCGCCGAAGGCGGTCAGCGTCCCTTCGGCACACGACCTCGATGTCCGAGGCGGCCGCTCCTAAGACGGCAGAGGCAGAGGGCTTGTTCTTCTCTGTCTGTCGCGAGGCAAAGCGCGGGAGGGAGGAGGCTGAGGTTCAAGGCCCCGCCAAGGGGGAGGCTGACGCTAGGCCGCTAGGCCGCTAGCCTGACTGAGGCTGAAAGCCCTAGTGCCCTAGTGCCTAAGGCTGGAGCCAAGTCGACCAAAGGTGCTCAGTCTTTTGTCAGCATCTGCCGGTTAAGTCTAAGAAGGCATAGTCCAAACTCCGCAGCTTGTGGAGAGGAACCTTAAATTCTTTTCTGCACCGTTGGGCGATGTTCGATCGCATGCTCGGACGAGCGCAGCAAGCAACGCGCTGGTGCTCGCATGGCTTCTGGCGTCATTGACTGACCAGCGGCCCTGTTTGACGCCCTGCTCTGTGAGTTTGTACAGGCCGATCGAAGCGCGAGTGACGTCAGATGCGAGCGGCCACAACAAGAGTCCAAGATTACTCACCAGCCATGAAAGATGCGCAAAGCCTTGCAAAGCCTTCACCGTTTCGGCCCTGCACGTCTGACTGAGATGCGTCGCGTCGAAGTGCAACTCTGGAGCGCGGACAGCTCTCGAAACCCTCCGTTTTCTGGCCAAGAAGCCACACCACTGTACAGGTACGCGGAAGTCGGGGTCTGTGAAAACGCTTCTCATCCGGTAGTGCAGTTGTCTACATCTATTACATCTGATATCAGCTGACTACATCAACGCTCCGAGCTCTCATGTTCTTGGTTGCGGCCGCAGCTGCGCAACACGCCTTCAGTGAGTTGCATGCCATCTAGCAGAATCTAGCAACGGGCCCATCCCAAGGATGGGAAGGTCTCCAAGACTCCCAAAAGCAAAGTCGCAGTCAACGTCGCATATGCATGACACCGAACTCAGCCCCCAGCATCAAGCAGGTGCCCATTACTTTTGCGCCATGAGACGCCTGTTTGGCCTCAGCAAGGAGCGCCATCAGCCTTGCATCCATTCCCCACACATGTAAGCTTCAGCCAGGAAGAGGCACCCGCACAGAAAGAAGCTCCGAGCCTTCAGGAGGCGAGAGCCACAAAACCTGCGCCCGACCAATGCCCGACCCTTTGTCTTGGCCCCTTGGCCCAGGCTTCATCTCGCATCGACGAGCAGGCGGGGCGAACGGCCAACAGAATGCCCTGCTGGGATGCCAGCAGGTGTCCAACCTCGAAGCCAAGATCAAAAAGACCGATGAGGAGATCAAGACCTTCGTTGCTCAGGGGACCGCCAGAGGGGTGCGTTGTGAAAGGATCTTGAAACAGCGCACGCCAGGGCAAAGCTGAATCCCGTCAGCGACTGCACCGCCAATATTGACAGGTTGTTGCATCCTTTTGCAAAGCTTCCCTGGCAACCGGCAACCGGCTAAAATTTGTGTATATCTCTGGCTGGTTCACAGAGCCGGTCCACCATCTCTGGAAGGAGCTCCAACCCAACGGCCAAGTCCAAGGCACTGCAGGCGACATGAATATGCTCTTTCACGGCATAGGCATAGGAGGCTCGACCGAATATGCCAGGCCATGAAGAAAAAGAAAATGTACGAGCAGCAGAGAGTCTCATTCTCAGGGCTTGGATCAATGTCTTGTAGCATGAGAAGTGTCAAGGGTTGCCATATGTGGCTCGAGGATCAGCTGCTCAGTACGCAGCCTGGAACTCGGAGACAGTCGAAGCTGGTCCAGGGTTACAGGATGTGAGCGATTCATTATGAGATAGTCTTGGAACCTGGGCCAGATTTCTCATGATATGCCGGAAGGACAGTTTGAGAGAAATCCCCAGTTGAATTATCTGAAACGACGTGAGTTGAGCACGGCAGGTTAGCTGGCAGCCGTTTGCACAGCGATGCGTATGCACTGCTACCTGCCTCTGTCGAGGTTTAACGTTGAGAACCTGGCATTCCAGCAGGAGCAGGCGGAGATCACGGCCATCGCGGCATTGCTGGCATGAGTTGAGCTGCATTCCGGCATCGCTTCATCGGTTGCTACGTGTGTCCTACGGCCAGGTGCAAGCTATGCAGACAGGTCACACGCAACTGAAGGACCAGAGTGACCAGAGTCCAGAAGCGAGCCGTGGGCGTTCCTGTCCACCACTTGCATTGCGAGGATCAAACCAAGCAGATGGACATCGCAGCGGTCGACAAGCTCACAGATGACATGGCAGATTTGCAGGATGAGAGCTGCCCTCAGAGTTCGGAGTTTGCAGGCTGAGCAGCGGGAAAGCTCACCACACCTTGCCGAGGATGAAAGCCATCAACGAGGCCCTGGCCCAAGGATCTATGGTGCCCGATGGGGCCACCGACGACGAGCTGGCCAACGACCGTAACTCAGAACAGGAATGCAACTGTGCGACGTGTCAGCTTGAGAGAAGCAGTTTGGGGTTTGCCAAGGAGTTTGCTAAGCTCGAGGAGGAGCGAGGGCAGCAACCGGAATAGCGTAGCGTAGGGTGGGTCCCATCTACTGGGAGCCTCATGTCCAGGAGATGGCCGCAACGGCGCTGGCTGGAGGGGCTCTCCCCGACTCGGGTGTCCCCGCGAGACCCCCGGCAGAATCTCAAGTGTGAAGGACTCATGCTTTCTCGCCGAGGCCAAAGCGGAGGGTGCGGCGGAAGTGGCTCCGGCACCCCGGGAGGCGGAGGCAGCTGCTGTGCCGAGTGCACCGCCGTGATCGACCGCTTTCTGTCAAGTGGTACCTCTACACCTTTCGATCTTCATGATCTTCCATCCGCGATGCCTTTTAATTCCTCATATGCCCGATAACATAGTTCCCGGCACGACCTGCCGGCAACTATCCAGAGGGCACGTTTCACACAAGCAGCTATTTACAAATTACGGTCGCTCGTGTACAGATAGGCAGATATCAGCACAGCTGCTCGAAGACTCCTGGCACAGCATTCTCAGTGGTGCTGTGCTTCCGACTCTGCAGGAATCTTGTATTCCATCCAGGTGCAACGGTCCCATTTATTTTGACGCCTGGTTGGTAAGCCGGTCGCCCCGCAGCATGACCTTGCAAACTTCAAGCGCACTTGCTGGCTCAAGAAGTCTGACTCCAAATTGCAACACATCATCGTTTGTCTAGTCTAGTGCATGGTTGCCCATGGGCATTTCGATCAATGCGCCCTGTAGTGCGAAAAGTTGAATCCGTCAAATCTTCATGCACAGACTACTGGACGGGCAGAGTGCAGATGAGTCCCGGCGCCTGCAGCTTAGCCGTGCAGCACATGCCGCAGCATTCGTGTTGCATGCCATGCCCAAACCGCATACTAAGGCAGTTCCAGAAAGTGTCGTGCACTCAGATGATGTTGACGGCACCAGCTCATGCGACAACAAGCGCAAGTTGCAAGGATTGGCTGGATGCTGCCTCCCAGTTGGGCGCACAAAGTCTTACTTCGGAGAGTTTGTGCTTGCAGTGCACATGCCCTGCGAGCTCACTGGCAGTTTCCTCCTAGCCCTTGAGGTTCGAGCCAAGTGTAGGGACTTGAATGCTGGCCTCGCATCGCATGGCCTTGACACTGCCCTCAGCCAGCGGTTCTTTGCGGTCCGCGCATCAGCACCGGGAGCCTCCGTCGGCATCTGTCCAACCTCTTTGGCAGACTGGCATGAGTCGAGATGAGTCGAGCGAGCAGACCTGCGAGCCGAGGTACCTCACGTTTCGAGGGTGTCCGGGCAAAACCTACAGTCACAAGCGCGCCTACTGATTGCAATTCACTTCAGTAAGGCCGTGTCGCCTCCTGTGCTTGTACCCATTTCTTAAGCGGTGCCTGCAAGGCTTCAATAGTCAGAGAGCGCTTGCACTGGGCACTGCTCTTGTACCTCTGAAGCAATGAGATGCCTTTCGTCGGGTTCTACGTGGATATAGTCTTCCCGAATCGCTAGTTGCCAAAGGGCTCTGTGGGTTGTGTGCAGTGGAAGCAGACAGGCTGAAGCCTTTGGACCCTGATTCATGTCATGTTGCTCTAGGCTTCTGGTCACGTCTGCTTTTGCTTGCGATTCTCGCTAGTGCCTTCTGCTGCTTATTTCACTACGCCCGAAGTGCAACTAGTGGAAGTGCGGTTATTTCCGACCTGTAAGGCACCTTCTGTTTGCAGCTTGACCAAGGTTGGAGCCTACGCTTCCAAGCGGATGTCATCTCGAGGTGTGAGACGGTTCGCAAGTACGCTTTGTTGCACTGTCCGATCCACGGAAGGCACCTCCTACGCCGCCCTGAAGGCGACGGCCACGCTAGAAAGCTGGGAAGGACTGCTTGGAAGTTGTTCGAGTCACTGCACCGCAGATCGCAAGCTGCTCTTGACTCTTGACACGGTTATGAAACGAGTGCCGCTGCGGCCCCTGCAAGGACTCGCCACTGAGGCTCGCCAGACGAAAGCAGGCGGACCGAAAACGAAGCCAAAGGCAGCGGGGGTTGCTGAGCAAGCTGTCGCGTCCCTGCAAAGGCGAGCAGGTGCTCAAGTCCTGGGAAGACCGGGTGCAAGGCCTGATCCCGCACACAGATGCCAAGGTGCCGAGCAGAAGCTTCGAGTCTTGAGGGCAGGCGAGGCCCAGCACAGTTGTCAGCTGAGGTGCGCTACTTTGGCAAGGATCGTTGCCGGGCAGCAGAGAGTCAAAGAATGGACATTTTCCACCATTTGCACCCGAAACGTGGCAAACTCAGGAAGTAAACCTCGAGTAAAGATTTATCGAGATCAGGCAGCATGGTGTCCCTATTGCCAGCGTCTCATCGGCACCGATTCTTGTTTCTGCTCCTGTTGCAATTACGGCATCGCAGTCGATGCAGTACGAACATGAGGAAGGTTTGGCTGCTTCTCGAAGAGAAGCAGGTTGACTACGAAGTGGAGAAAGTGCCGATGCGATCGTACGGTACCTTTGGCTGATAGGGGCGGGGCGACTTGGAGGCGGAGCGCGAAGCGCGCGACGCTTAGGTGACAAGCCCAGGGAGTTCATGGCTCTGGTTCCTCGCGGGCTTTTGCCAGCCATGGAAATAGATGGCAAGGCCGTGACCCACCGGACACTGCCGGCCAGACTGGTTCTTTTGACGCGATTCTCGTGAGCAGGTCATGACAGAGAGCTTGGACATCATGCTGCTCGTCAAAGCATGACGACCCGGCTCGTCTGCCTGTCTGTGTGCGGAGCAACTCCAACATGTGTTCCCCTCAGCGTTTTTGCTTGCTCTTCAAACTCGTGTTGGCGGCTCCTCAGCACTTCTCTAAGTTTGAACCTCGATCTCTCGCCTTGGCTGATGCTAGAGACTCTCTCAAGGCTTGCTCGAAGCGCGGATGCGTCGAGGTTTCCTTCGAGAATCCTTGCTTACGACGATGCGCACGTGCTGCTAATATCCTGGCTTACGCCGAAGGTGCTGCATCGCCCACGTTCACCCACCGTCTGCGCACCGCATTGTTCACACCTGGTGTCCCGCAAGCGTGGTCTCTTTTCACTAGAGTGGCGTGGCCCCAAAATCATGCCACGAAATGCCACGCTTTCTTGTTCGACTTTCCTTTTGCTATTACTCTTCCTCCCCCTCCCCTCCCCTCCCCTCCCTTCTTGTCTCCCTCCAATCAGACTGCGATTGCACGGCTCAAGCAGCGAAGGTTCACTATCGATTCTTGGCTTGCCGATGCAGATTGCCTTGGTGCCTCTGCAGACCTGTGCAATTCTCAATTAGCAACCAAGGAAGGTGCGTTTCCAGATCCAGACAAGCCAATGCAGCAAGCTCAGCATGAAAGCTATGGGTGCAATGGAGACATACACACCGCTCATAGACGTTTCATGATGCTTGTACTGTGCTTCGGCTTCGATGGTCAGCAGAAGAACGTACAAGAAGCGTATCTAGAGAATTGAACGCCCAGTGCTCTTCGCCTCTAACTCTTCACGAGCAAGCCAGACAAGTACAGAAGATACACGGCAAGGGATGCGCTTGTTGAGACCTCAATCAAGGATCCAGATCGCACCTGCTCATCTCTCTCGGTGAAGCGCAAGAAGCAAGTTTTTGTCGCTGACGCCCACAACCGACAAGTGAACCGGCAGTTAAGTCGTGGGACTGTGACGATGCTCCCAGGCTTATACGTCAATACCAGGCTTGCTAGGCCTGCTTTCGCTTGGCCCGCGACAAGTGTTGCATCCAGCACTCGCCCTCGGACGGAATTGCACCGTACTGGCATGCAGCCGAGTAAGTCTCGAGAGCAGGAGCATCAACATCAGCATCGCCAATTTGCTTGCCACCTGGACTCTTCAAACATTGCTAGAAGCCATGGTGCTCGAAGCACAGAAACGGACAGCGAGTCAACACAGACACCAAATCTCGATTCGAGAAGCCGACGCCGACAATAACATGACTTGCCGACATTGCGGCAGGAAATTGTAGGGCAAGGTGGGTGCCTTGAGGCGACCAAAGGTAGCTTTGTGGTCTTCTCTGCCAGCGCAAGGTTTCCAGCCTCGGGACCACTGCGGGACCGAGCTGCTAAGCTTCTCAGCCTGGAACGACAACTCTTCGGCGCATGGTGCTCATACTTATTCCGCGCCTTGGCTGAGACACTGCATTCTTTGACGATCGTGCTTGTCACACTTGGGACGCCATTCCGAGGACCAGAGATGCCGTTGATTGGTGGTTCCGAAAGGGATTTCACTAGCGCCCTACAAGCAGTTGATTCCGAGCTGGCGAAGAACACAGCTGCTCGGCATATAACGGCACAGCATGACAAAGCATGATGAATTGCAAGCTCCAGTTGCTCGAGTTTAGCCCCATCATCAGAAGTGGAGGAGTCGCCGTTCTTCCTGCCTTACCAGCACCCGACCATCGTGGACATGCAGTATGTCTCTCATGTAGAGCGTGCAGTTGCGAGTGCCATGCTGGGTGGCTGCAAATCAGCGAGTACTGCGCAGATCAGCTTCAAAGACTGCAATCGTACTGCTGACGCCCCCGACCCAAGGTATTACAAAGGGTATGACGTGCGCAAGAAGTTTGCACACATCGACGAGTGGCCTATCGCACCAGAATTCCAAGTGATATCGTGTCTGAAGGACGGAGTCACAGCTGCATCTCTCGGACCCAGTTCACTTGCGTAGAGCCCAGGTGGCTTTCTGCATACGAGAAGCTGCCGCACTACGTGGCGACGAAGAGCGACTACTACACGCACTGCTGCTTGTGTGCATAGCAGACTGGTTGGGATATGTTGGGATTGGCAGATGCATCATTGTGCTTGAGCCTGCTCTGGTTCGAAACACCGTTTCATCTCCTTCCGGTGCATACTTCAGCATCACTTGCCGTTGCTAGGTATGGACATTCCTCCGCAGTACGGCCCATGTTTTTCCAATGACAACGTTTGGCGCTCAGCATCTTTGTAGAAAAACCCAGAGAAGAATGTCACATGTCCTCCCCAGGCAGAAGCTGTGCGAGCAAGAGTATCTTCGTGGCATTACTCGAGTCCCTTGACAGTGCTCAACAGAACTGACATTGCATGAATGTGCTTTTCTCAGGAGGACATTGATCCTCAAAGCGCCAAGCTCCCTGCACAATGGCAGACAAGTGTTGAGCCCCCAACACCGGAGCAGCTCGAAAGGTCGGAGGAGGACTGCTTGACACTAGGAGGTCTCACTCACAGAGGACCTCTTTTTGCTGGAGGACTATCGGATTGAGGCGGCGATGCGGCTCACCGAGAATCAAAAGGCCAGCTCCAAAGCGCATGAGCACATCACTTGAGCCTGATCAACCTGTTGGTCCAGATGACGTCAGCTTGCCAGAGGCAGTCACCCGATTCTGCTGCCGTGCAGCCGGAGGCGATGTGGGCTCTTGGGCGCGAGGTAATCCGACGAAATGCGCCTCATCTGCAAGAATCACCGACACTGGAATGCAGACACTGCAGCATGCCGGCGGTAAAGAGAGCCTGCGTCTGACCCCTGTCAAGGTGAGCTTGCAGATCCTTATGCCAGGCACGGCTGCCCAGCAGAAGTACGCTGGGCGGGGTGTCACGGTGATTGCAAGACTTTGAGTTGCAGACTGCTTGTGCGCTCTACCCTGAACTTGACAATCTGCTGTCCTCATTTCAATAAAAGACTGCTGGTTCGAGCTAAGCTTTTTCATGTGTTTGCCTAGCTCAGCCGTGAAGGCCGAATGACGACTATGCGCCTGGAGTGAATGTGGTGCTTCGCTCGATTGCCACCGCCCTTCTCAAAGGGGACCCAAGCCCTGTGTGCCTGGGCGCACTTCACTCCAGACCTGCTTTGGCCCTGTCTGTGGCTACGACCTTGGCACAGTGCAGCGTTGCCCCAGGCTGAGCATCAAGGCCTCCGTCGAGAAAGAGGTGCTGGGAAGCTTCGAGACAGCATGCGTCAGGAATGAATCCTTCTCTCGAGGCGAAGATGTCCGGACGCGATCTTGAGGTCATCGCGGATTGCATTAGCTACCTGCGGGACCGGGTGCGGACCTCAGGATTGGAGCCGGCATTTGTGATGGGACAGTTCAGTGCCTTCAGAGGAGGGGCGAGGAGCCCACTTCACATCGAGTGCAATTGCAATAGAAACTTGAAGCGAAGGCTACAGTACGCAGCCCTATGTCCAGCACGTCCCCAAAGTACAGGTTGCCAGAAACGGGGTTGAAATGCAAAAAATGCCAAAGACGAGCGGAAGGCAGTCTTGCCATTTGCACGTGCTCGCACTGGTACTTTTTAGCCGGCAAGAGTCACCATGACTGCATGAGAAAATGTAAGCTGAGAAACAAGCACCTCTGTCGTTTTGTGCGCATTCGGGATTATCTCATGACGGTGCACGGCTCGGAATGGCTCGGACCCGTCGTATTTTGTGTTTAGTTTGGGCTGTGAGGGATTCGAGAACTGAGAGGCCATAATAATGATTATTGAGTCCACATAAGTCATCAGATTCGGGTATTCATCAACTTTCAGTTTGCCAAAGCTGTGCGATCAGGTTGGATCGCCACGAGATCTCTCCATGCCCGCCGCCAAAATCTTGCGCGCGCATTTGGCAGAAGCAGTCAGGCAACTGAAATTGTGACCTGACGCTTCGAAATGTGGATGGTAGGAGGTTCGTGGACAGCACCGCTGAACCACAGACTGCAGATTGTCCAGGGATTTTCGCTTTACAGCCATGTTTCCTTGGAAAAGAGCGGCCCGGAAGACTGCCGAGATGATCGTGGATGGACGACGGACTGCTCCTCTCATGCAAATTCGAGGCAGAGAAAGGGCTACATCATCAATGGCAGCCCTCCACAGCAAGAGCCAGCAAATCGCAGGGAGCTCGGTGAGCTCGGCTTCGAGGTGACTGAGGGCTTTCACAAGTGCTCTGTGCAAGCCAGGAGCAAGGCGGCCAAAGTGGCGCTTGTGCTTCAGGCCAGGGTCTCAGGCCATCTCTGGCGCGTCGAGCTCTTCAAGGATCTTCCTGGTCTTCTGCTGTGCTGACATCGAGGTTGGACCGACAAACGGTGTCAGCCAAAGAGTCGCTGGCAGCCTCCTCGGTCTTTCGTACACCCCCTTGGTCCATGAGACTTGAGATGAGGGCGAAACGTGCGGCCGTGAGGAACATCTAGCACCGAAGTACCAGCACGACTTCTTCTTGACCGTTGTCGATCCGTGGAGCTCTGAGAGAGAGAGAGAGAGAGAGAGTGCAACAAATGTTGGCTCGCTCCGGCAATCTTGGTCTGAGCTGGACGTCGAGGCCGGCTACTGGTTCTTTCAGAGAATCGCCACCAGCGCCCTTCTTCGCATCAAGGCTTCAGTCTGTTGCAGAGCCAGTCTGGCTAGAGTTGACTAAAGTTACCTGGCAAAGGGTGGCCTGTCACGTTGCAGACTTGGTGGCGAGTCGCGGCCTCAGCCAGACATGAGCAGCGCAAGCTGTGACGATAGAGTTGGCAGAGGTCGGCCCATGATCGCGCAGCTGTCCGTCCCTTGAACTGCGGCTGTGTTTGCTGATGCGATTGCAACAACTTTATTGTGGCATGTCCACTCCGCACCCAGGGCTGGTCGAAGTTTCGAAGGCAAAGCGCTGGCGAGCATAGGCCAGCTGCGACCCCTTGCGGAGTGTGGAACATGTGGACCCGTGTGGACCTGTGTGTCTTGTGAGGCGCTGAATGCATGGCGGCTGGGCTCTGTGCAGCAATGCTGGGGGCAAAAATCGCCTTCGCGCGACGCCCAAATTCACTCTCTCCTCTCAGCCTTTCTGCTTCCGAAGAGCTGTGACTGGCGAGGTCTGCGAGAGGAGCCTGGAGCCTCACGTGCAGCACAACGTGCGCCTGTGGGCGTCCCTGAGGGCGAGCGTCAGAACCGCCGCAGGGTCGCAGGGTGTCGTGGAGTCTTTCAGGTTTCGCAGGGACACCTTGGACTACACAAAGACCAAGACAAATGTTCTCGCTGTTGCCCCTTGCAGCCCAGGGAGGTGCGCTTTTGGTCTTTGGACTGCTGACCAGCTTCAGCGCCCCAAACCGTGGCAGGTGCGGCCACTTGGATGCGGAGGTCTTGTCTGAGAAGTTGCAGGCTCTTCTTTCGTCGGAGTCGGGTCTGTGTTGTGCCTTGCGGTGGAGAGGCACCTTCTCTGGACATGGTAGTCCGCCTCCAGGATTTCTGCATGATTGCGCCATCGTGGTTTGCGGGTTTGGCTCTGAGGTTCTCACCGAGGTGAGCTTCGCGAGAGTTGCCGGCCTCTCTGAAGCGCTTGTCGGCGATCTGCTTGTTGACCGTCGCAGCATCGCACCATGAGGTTGGCGACTTCGGCGGGCTTGTTGGAAACCGCCGTGGTGAGGTGTGCAGGGTTTCCGGAGCAGGGGGCTTTCTCTCGAAGAGAACCTCTGTAGCAACTAACAACTATGGGCTGTTCTGGGCCGGGACACGGAGAAATACAGATATCTCGGTTTTTCAGCTGCTGTGGGTGAGTGCTGCCTCTGTCGCCCAATCGTATCACACTGACCTGGTGCCCCCAGAGAGCTGTTGACTCAATGACAAGTCGGAACCAACCCCTCGGCTGGTCCTACCAGCAGCGCTGCCCGGGCGAGATTCTGCAAGCATACGTGACCATGACAATGATCTGAGTGCCAAATCATGCTGAACACCTCAGACAGAAGCGGCAGCATGCAGGCAGCTTTCGACCACTGTAAATCGTGGTGATTAATGGCTGATGGGGTTTACGTCTCTTGGTTTTAGGTTTTGCCTGTCTTGTTGCTGGGCCCGCCGCTGGTAAGTTGCAGAAGAGCTGCTTAACTTATTTTGTTGTACTTCTTCGTGAGGCAAAGAAACACTTACACTGTGAGGGTTGAAGCGCACCCCGTTTGGGCTGAAGAGAGGTTCCGACCCAAGTGCCCACCTGGAAAGAGCACCGCGATTGTGTAATCGTAATGCAGCGATCCAATCCAGGGAGCGGGTATGAGCGGGCGGGTACGGGCGTGGGTCCAATGAAACCTGGGCTCAAGCTTTAAGAACTGTCGTTCTTCCTTGCAGGGTAAGTGGCAGTGTTCAAGACCGTTTGTCCACATGGTAGACCCCTCAAGCGTCACTGCAAGATTCTGTGCATCCCAGGGCAGTTCCTACTGTAGTCTTCATACAGATTGATGCGTAGGGGCAGCCCTGTAACTGCTGTCGAACACTTTGGGTTATTTTGCGCCCCGAGCAGACGAAGGACTTCAGGCGTGCGTGGATGTGTGTGTTTTTGCGCGTGTGGGTTCAGGTAACGATGTCCGTTAAGGCAGGTATGAGGAAGATAAAAATTTTGAGAAGATGAAGCAGAAGGACAACGCGGCAGAGAGAGAGAGAGAGAGAGATCTTTTTCCGAGCTAGTACTGTTGGTGCCCCTTAAAGCCTCTGGCGCGCCTCTCGGCGCAGGGGGCTTAAAACGCCTCCTGCACCCCTGGACCCCGAAGCGAAGCGAATAGAGAGAGAGAACTGAAGAGAAAAGGCTTCCTCTTCGGGTTGAAGGCAGGGTACAGGCAGGCGAGGCGGGTTTTAGGGGGCATTCCATATGTTAATACTAGGACCTGACACCGTGTTGAAGTGCCTGACCCCACAGAGGCACCAGCTCCGCTCGCTACGACCCAACAATAGTGCCACTGTACAGCCGACCCCATCCGGTGAAATAACTGGATGGGGTAGCACGAAAGCGCGGGCTAGGGGCCTGCCCCTAGCTCAAACGCCGAGCAAAACAAAGAGGGAGAGCGAGAGAGACTGTGTGTGGACCCAGCGGAAGGAAGGAAGGAAGAAAGGAAGGAAGGAAGAGTGTGTGTGTGTGTGTAGGCAACTCCCCACCACAGCGTTGGCGAAAGAAAGAGTGTGTGTCTCTGTGTGTGTGACAGCCCTCATCCATTCAATGTTTTTTTGATTCATGAATTCTTTACGGAGGTGTCAGCCATTTTTCAGATGCTCGGGAAGCTGGCACAAAGCTCGTATTGCTCATCCAGCCAGCCAGCACCGCGGAACGGGACGGCATTCTGTGCCTGTTTGACTAAGATCCCAGCGAGAAGCTGCACAAAAGCTCTTGCTAGACCCTTGGCTGTCGAGCAATGCCACTCTTTGGCGAGATTGTCATTGCAAGCGTCTTGCATCTGGAAGGTGATTTGTGACCACAGCTTCGCCATATCAGAGGCGGCGAACAAAGAACAGCATGGAATTGCAACTCAGGGTGCTCAATGCGCAAGGAGTCCAACCGAAGAGCCAGGGCAGACGAGGTCTGCTCTTGTTGCTGGCAGTGCGTAAGAAAGGCGAGTCCACTCTGAGAAGAACCCTAAACTCAGATTGTGGGGATCTGCAATACTTGAGGCTTTCTGCCGCAATTTTCTCTGTGATTTTACGTGCGCAGGAAGGCGATGGACTGCCGCCAGGTCTGAGTGCAGTTCCTTCGTGGCAGTTATTGCCGGCAGCAATTGAATGAGATCCCATCGAAGTTCCGCCTCGTGTTCTCTCGCCACGAGAGCCGAGGCCTTGCCGCCGGAATGGCACGCGCGACCGTTCTGCGTACTCCCACAGGGCATCCCAGCCGCCCACCCAGCTGCCCGATCTGCCGCCCGAGCGACGTCTCGTGGCGCCTCTCAGGTGATCTGGCTGGAGCGCCAGGATGCCGAGCTTGTGCGGCGAAAGCCGGCGCCGATCGTGCGCGGGGCTAAGAATGGCGAGGTCGTCAAGTCGTCTTCGACTTCGATGCTGCTGTCGACTTCGATGTTCCTGGGCGCTTAGGCCGCGAGCTCCGATGCCGCCCATGGGAGTCAGCCTCAGTTGGCACCCTGAGCAGCCACATGACATGTAATGCGGCCATTTCCTCCGCTTGCCATTTGCGAGCTTTGTAGAGGCTGGCCGACTCGATAATCCATGGCAGAGCCGTGCCAGTGCCGTTCTCCATTAGGTGCATCCTCCTCCAGATGTGGTTGTGGAGGGCACATGCAGAGGCAGCGTGTAGAGCTGGCATGATGCTGCATGTCCGGTGATGCTCTCTTTGCAGCCCTCTTCTTGGCCAACGAGTTGAGAGCAAAGAATGGTTCGCAAACAATGCCAAGTTGAAGGAGGCCGGGCGCAAGCGGAAGTTGCGAGGTTCATGTTTCTGCAGAGGAGAGGGGAACATGTTCTGTAAGCCGTGCCGATCGCGCGCTGCTTGGATCGAGCGTCGCTTGCTTTCTTCCTACTCCGGTGCGCGCAAGCGCCTTTGCCCATGGGAGTTTGTCCCTGCTCATGCAAGCCAAGTATCGCGGCAAGCTTTGACTTGCTGTCGCCTTCCCAGGTAAAGTCAGCTCCTGAGTCTGCACGTGCCAGGTCGCAGTGCTTTGCAGAAGCTTTCAGATCTTCAAGTGGCTAAGGCAGCGTTTCATCCAGGAGCCCAGGCAGCTGCCATATTCTCGCCATGCCAGTGATGGCAAGGATGTCTGGGATGCTTTGACGCTGATGGACGCAGCTCTTGACAGCACTGGCCGCATCATTCTGCTGTACTCGGGCTACGAGATCGACCCAGGTCAGAAAGATCACGAGTACCAGGCCGGCTGGAACCGGGAACACGTGTGGCCAAAGAGCCACGCTGCCCTGTCCACCTCGAAACCAGGGCCCGGGACAGATATTCACAATCTTCATGCTGCTGACATCAGCGTGAATGCCCACAGGGGCAACAAGGACTTCGATGAGCTTGTGGAGGGCCAGCCGGGAGTCCATGTCGTTACTGACTCGAGCCCACCGCAAGGATACTCTGGCATGGCACGTCTTTGCCTGGTGTCTGACACCACGTGGGAACCACCGGATGCCGCCAAGGGCCCGGTGCCGGAACACAAAATGTACACTTTTGATAAGATATTCCGCTGCTCTTGTCATTAACATTGACATTCATCAACGATCCCTGCCAAAGAACTGAATATTACTTTCACAAAGGGCTGCGGCCACGCGGTCTGCAGAATATTGTGTTAAAGCATTGATTAATGCTGCATGATAATCATGGACCCGAGTATTAATGGTTTCTGCAGGACCTAAGCCTTTTTGTTTCGAAAGGTCTTTCAATATCATGGGGGAAGCTATCGGTCTTACCCGTAAGACTCTAAGGTGTGACTTTAAATGCCTTTACATGGTGCTCTGCTTCTAGTAACTTGTTCTTAAATTGCAGGCAGGAGATAGCACCACGAGCTACGACCCGCTGGAGTGTGCATGAGTCAGCCAAGGTGGCCAGGTCCTTGATGTATATGGCTTGCATGTATGCCGACCGGGGCTTGAAGCTTGTGAGCGGCAAGACGCAGAATCACAGCATGCAGCTGGGAAACCTAGAGGCGATTTTGCGCTGGGCGAAGAAGTTTCCGCCAAGCGAACGAGAAAGGAAGCGAAACGAAGTCGGGCAAAGCTTGCAGTGCAATCGCAACCCGTTTATAGATGACCCTGATCTCTTTGAACGAGTGCTGTGGTCATGATTTGGTGATCTTGTGGGCCGGCCGGGAGACTTCGAAGCTGTCGAGACGTCGCAAAAGGTTCGCGCGGGAAGCTCAGGGGCTCTGGAAGTCCGTATCGAGGTCGCATTTGAAGAGATTCCTAAATGAGAAAGCCGCAAGGTGTCATGGATGTAGGGGATGCGAGAGGTCGTTTCGGATGCGTATCATCAAAAACGATCTTTGTGTCACATGAACATTACCTACATTACTCAGAGTGGTCCCCGAAGTTTGAAGCATCTTTAAGAACCTGATCTTGAAGCCGATCAGTTTTTTCTTGCCGACGCCCATCCTTCACTCGCCTTGGCAATTGTATAACCGTCGTACAGCTTGACGATCTACCTGTATAAGGAGCTTTGGCTCAGCCCTTGGGGGTGTTAGGCGCTAGGTGTCGGATTGACTGGCAGGGTGCTTGTAGTAGTCGCTCGCATATACGTTCGTGCGTGAACAGTGCGAGAAGATGCAGCAGGCACTGCAGTCTCACAACAGCGTCAAACAGATGGAGGCAAACCATGTGCGAAACTGAGGCTGTGCAGAAGCAGAAGCAGAGGGCTGTTTGTACCTCGTACATCGTACCTTAAGGTCTTGCAGGAGGCCAGGGCTTGGGCTGACAGCCTGGCCCTCGGCATGAGCTGCGACCCGCGGAATTTTTCCGGAGTTTTTTCGAGTTGAGGCGTGTCGCTTTCCCAGTTCCTCTCGGGCGGCTCCTCGAAGGCCGCACGTCTAAGAGCCTCCTGGACACGTCTTGGCACAGCATGGTGTCTGCTCTTGCACTCTCTGTCCTTGGCAGGTGTCCTACTCAGAGCCGTCACAGTGCTCAACAGAAGGCACCGAAACGGGGGGTGCTTGGGATGGCCCTTGAGAGCTCTGCACGGAGGCCGTCTGTGTTGAAGCCCTGCAGGTTTGAATGCCACCTATTGCAATCCGAAGACGCGTGCAACCCAGTTCATTCATTTGCGGTTGAGCCATCGCAGGCTGCGGGGAGCTGCATGAGAGTCTGCCAAACTGGACCGAGTTTTCGAAAGACGCTTCCTGCTCCCAGCAGTGCGCGAGAACACAGGCGAGCGATCATGTAACGTTTTGGATTGTCCGATGTATATTATATGGTGTGTTATAATTATACATTATAGTATATTATAATATATTATAGTATATTATCATATATTATAGAGTTTCGGGGAGCCGGCGACCATCAAGGCATGGTTCGGTTCGGCAAGCAACAGGCAGGATAGCGCGAACACCCCACAATCAACCAGCAATGAAGTAAAAGTACATCAGCCATCAACATCCATCAACCATGACCTCAGAACGGTCATAGACATGTCATAGTTCCATAATTATCGAACGCCTATCAGCCCCGATCAGCTTGGCTTGCAGAAGGTCAACGGGTCGCAGTGATTCAGGCATTTCTGTTGTCTTGGTGTGGGTCAGGTCATGTGCGACTCAGCTTGATGAGGCTTTGCCGTTTTACGTTCAATGAAGTCAGGGCACGGCACCGGCCGGGTGGGCTTGGTTAGGTAAGCTACCCTAGCCTGGCCCAGCCTAGTCTCCAACGACGCTTAGTAATCTGGTGTAAGCAAGCATCTCGGTATCAGAGTACTGAAAGCGTGGGAAATGGGCCAAGGGAAAAGCATTTGCAGGCACGGAAGCACCGAATGCCTGAAAGGAGTTCTATTTCCATGTGGGATTTAGGGGGATTGTACGGGTTGTAGTTTACGGAGCACCCCCTCAACTTGCCCTTCTTACCTCATGTTCTCGCTGACCTTCGTTCTGAACTGAGGCAACGCAAGCAACAATCCTAGCCTCACCCAACCTAAATTACGTGAATCAGCTTGAGTTACAGCAGCACGACATCATCTGAGCGTTGTGGCTTGTTGATTCCTGCTTTGGTATGCTTTGGCTTCGATCTTGGGGCACCCGTTCCATTGATGCAATTGCAGGTCGTGCGAAAAACGCAGGTCCAAGAAGAGCATCTCGGAAAGCTCCGGCGGCATGCTGAGCCAGCCATGTTGTCAGTCATCTGCAGATCCAGTGTCTGCTGGCTTCGTGGCAGATGGAATCCAACCTGCCACTGATCATGCCCAGGTCGTGGAAAGGGCAGCCACAGTGTGTGGATCTTGGGAATCGTTGTGGACGAAGTATCTCCTGTAGCTGCTGGTGGCTCATGAAGAAAGCCCTGAGCTTTAGCTTTAAGCCTTAGTTCAATTCAGTCTCCCACGGGGTGTTCTCATTCTTGCTGCATCTCCAGCCTCAACAACCCTGGCTTCTGAACTAGTAGTGCAAGGCACGGCAGCCCACCATTGCAGAGCGTCACGCATCGCCTCCACACTGGTCCCTGCCTGGGTGTTGTAGAAAACTTCGGCGGCTGTTCATGTGACGTTGGTAAATCGCATTTGGCAGCAAGAGGAGTTTGGCGGTCACGGTGCGAGGTACAGCTGCAACCGTGCAGTGTACGGCATGTAGCGCTCAGTGAGGTGTGCTCACCGTTTGTACATAGTAAGAAAGCACTCAGAAGCTCGCCTGTCCCAAAATGGTGCAGATGCATTGAGCACGAGAGCGAAAGCCCAGATGTAGACTGCAAAGCAGTCCGCTGGTGGGGTTGAGTACGGAGAAAGTGTTTGCGAAAGGACCTGGGAAGTCGTTGCCTGATAGAGTTCAGCTTGACTGATGAACCGATCAACCTGCACTTCAGACAACCTGCTTGTAGCGCACATTCTGCCAGTCACGCATCTCGATGCGCTTGCTTGCGTTGTGGCTTCAACTGTGCACCAGGAAAGTTGAAACAAACACTGAAAGTTATTGTTACGATTTGTGCAGCCTAGAGGGGTTGCATCCAGCGCTGCTCCGGGTTACCCCGCAGTTTACCCCACCCTTTCAAAAAAGTTGAGACGCCCACCAGACCATGTTGAATGCTGTAGCTTGCGAATGTCACAGCGGCTGCTGCCAAATGTCTGCGAGAACCCTTCCAACTAGCGATACGAATACGGCTGTTCATTTGTTTCGTGTAGTTGCGGCTTCCTGCATCACCAGTGAACGCCCACGGAAGCTAGATGCGCCGTAATGTTGTGAAAGGCAGCCCTGAATGTCGTACTGAAGTTCCTTTGCAGGGAGCTTGCATGTTCTGACTTGCCTGGCTCCAGCTGTTCATCTGGGAAGTTTGGAGTAAGCAAAAGTGTCATGTTCGGTTGCCCTCTCCTTGCAACATTGCCGTAAGCTAAAGCCAGAAGTCCGATGCCTGGACCTCGTTTGTACATGCGATACTTATGCAGAGGTATGCCGGCATATTCAGGGTAACTGCGCCACGCTTCGCAAACGATTTCGAAACACAGCAAGGTTGCTTCAATAGGTGCTTAACGCTTACCTATCTGGCACTCCATGCCATAGGATGTGTCCCTCTCAGTTTTCCGCCCCTGTTTGCCGAGATGTCGGAGGGGTGCTGTCTTGCTCCACTCTTCTCGACTTTGCTGCCTTTACAACGGCTTGTGGCCTTGCCGGCCCCCAGCGCACCAAAAACCTGGGAGAAGGAGGAGGCCCTCGACGAAGCCGGGCGAGTGCGGAAGTGGAGCTCCGCGTTGTCCGAGTGCCCTGAGAGCCTTGCAAGCCTCTGCAAGGATCAGCCGGGGTTGTTCAAGGAGTTGGTAGAAGCAGGTGTTCCTGCCGACCTGCGTTGGGAGGTTTGGAAAGCAGCTTTGGGAGGTCTTCGCTGCGATGGCCACGGCGGCCAATACCAAGAGCTTCTGCAAAAGCAAAGCGGCTGGGAGCCTCTCATCGAGAAGGACTCAGCTAGGACCTTCCTCGTGCTGTCGTTTGACGACATGGGCAGGCATGCGCAGTGCCTGCAGAATATTTGCAAAGCGTACGCGAACCTGAATCCCGAAATTGGATATTGTCAGGGCATGAACTTCATCGTCGGCTTGTTGCTGCTGGTCTCGGATGGCGCAGAGGAGGAGACATTTTGGGTGTTTGCGGCTCTGATGCACGATCTGGAGCTTTCCGGGCTTTATGCGGGAGGTTTCCCGCTGCTGAGACGATACATGGATGGATTCGGTCAGCTTCTGGCGGCTGTCCTTCCCCGACATTCACTCCGATTGCAAGCCGAGGACATCCACCTCGAAGAGTTCTTGCAGTCTTGGTACTTGTCTCTCTTCGTCACATGCTTGCCGAAGGCAGCCGTCGTCGAGGTTTGGGATGAAATTATTTGCCTTAGTGGTCCGCCCTCGCTGGTCCCGCTCTCTGTGGCGCTCCTTGAGTGTGTCCCGATCGACTCCCAGATGCGTGTGAAGCTCAAGTCTCTGAACGAAGTCGTCGCAAGTAAAGCTTGCGCCATCGCGCAGTTCCTGCGCAGGCCGACTTTCGATTGATTACACGGTTTGTTCATGCAAGCGTGCCCATCTTGTATACAGCTCAGTAAGTATTAACCAAGACCTAGACTGCGGCTATCACCAGCACAGATACGAGCAATCGCATGGTAACAGTCCCAAAAAACGCGAGGAGTTTGACTGTGGGAGTGCTCGAATTGTCAAACCGAGATGCTGAAGCCTCGCGGATGCAGGCCTCTCCTGAAGCCCCTCAGAGTATTTCGGATGTAAGTAAGATTTACATAGCCGCTAGCAGCTAGCCGTCATGAGAGGCGCTGCCGGGAGATGATGGGACAAAGCCAGGAACTGCTCAGCCGAAGTCGACCGACAGTGGAGTCGGAAAAGCGAAGCTGAGCGCAGATAAGCACTGAGCCAGCCGCTAGGGACTGCACACCTTTAATCTGGGTTGAGCCACTTGTGTTGTACCCAGCTGTAACTCAGCTGCTAGATGGGACCATCCGCTTGGTTGCTGTAATGGCTTCAGCATTACCCATGGTGTCTTAACCGGTCCTTCGAGGACAAAGGTAGTTTTGGATGGCGTCCCAGCGCCGCAGCACCAACAGACCCTTGGCTAGACTCCACGAGTCAGTGAGTCTGCGACGCCTTGTGCCCCGTTTTCCATCGCATGCTTGACAACCAGGAGCGCGATGGTTGTCTTGCAGTCTCGTTAGCGTGGCAGTTTGCAGCTTTGCTGGCTCACCAAGGACCCAGCATGAGGTGTTTCTAGCCGTAGCCTCTCCGAAGCATGCATTTGCAGGGTTTTTGGCAGGATCTGGGAGACCTCCCGAGCCCTGGCCACAGCTGCTGCTGCCCCTGCAGCAGAGGCCTGCAATGGCCCGCTCGTCACTGCTCTGCTCCGGCTGGTTTCGTGAAGGCGACCGAGACTAGCTGTCAGCAGCTACAGAAAGAGCAGCTGGAAGCTGTTCAGTCGCGGAGCTCGAATTAGCCTTGGACACTCTTGAATGCGAGCTCAACAGCGCAGCTGAGGTCACGGATATCTGGTTGGGAGAAGGCCCTTGTCGGCGGTACTCACAGGAATGCGCGCCAGTTGCGAATCCCACTGTCCAGGCATCTGCCGAAGGTCGCTCTGTGCTGAGGTACGGCAAGCAGGCCAGCTGCTTCGTGATTTGTTCAAACCTGCCGAGAAGCGTCAGATCTGGCAGCGGCAGGCTTCGGCACTGCTGAACCGGACCCTGAGCAGCGGCTCAGCCGCGAATCATTCGGTTTTCAGCATGGATTCACTGTCGGGTCGCTTCGGTCACTCGTTCGGTCACTTCGGCATACTTCGGCCGCCCGTTGCACCTGAATGAGAGATGTCGGATGCAGTGGGGTCTATCCACGACCGTGATCGTAGTCGTAGTTTCCGCGTTGCAGCTCAGGCTTTGACGTGGCGGTCAGGTGCCAGCCATGATACTGCAAGCAGCAGAAGTAGCATGCTCGATATTGGAATTGACATGATCCAGTGTGGTTGCTTGAGCAGGGACGCGGGTCATGGATTCTGGATTATGTCGTTCACGCTGCAGTGAGGTTTGCTCAAGTTCGGGGCAGCAGGGCATTGTGCATGAGATGAAGGATGCCCCGCCATTGCTCAGAGCCAGCAACCGCCCCGCACTAATCCTCCGAAGCCTTAGCAACAGGAGAAGGCACAACCACATAATCCCAATCCCAACCCAAGCAGCAAGCCGCGTGGCCAGTCCCCCACCCATTACCAGACCCAT